AAGCATAGATAGCATTTTTCAAACTTACTAATGAAGCAGTACTTTATAAATAAACTGATTTTGAAAGGAAATCATTCTAGTGTAGCAATTCAGTATATAGTGTTTTATACTCACAATGCATAAACACAATGTTAAAGGGAGAAAGGGATAGCAACTGTGTCCCTTATTAAATATTTGAACCTCCAAGGTCATCAGTACTTCAACACTATCCAAGAGCATAATTAACATTAAAGCATACTTAAATATCTATTCTCAGGAGTTATTTTATTAATCAGAGTTGCAGTCCTTCGTGCACATTATAATTAAGTTCTGTTCTGTGCCTGGGGACCCATAGAGATGCTCAAAATACACATTCAAAATGCCATCAGTTAATATACTCTTTGATATCCAGGATTCAAAATTATTTTGAGAATGTAGGGGAGAGGGATAATATCCCCAAAGCGTGGTCTCCTATTCATACAATCATAGAATCAAAGAGTTGGAAGAGACCTCATGGCCATCCAGTCCAACCCCCTGCCAAGAAGCAGGAATATTGCATTCAAATCACCCCTGACAGATGGCCATCCAGCCTCTGTTTAAAAGCTTCCAAAGAAGGAGCCTCCACCACACTCCGGGGCAGAAAGTTCCACTGCTGAACGGCTCTCACAGTCAGGAAGTTCTTCCTCATGTTCAGATGGAATCTCCTCTCTTGTAGTTTGAAGCCATTGTTCTGCATTCTAGTTTCCAGGGAAGCAGAAAACAAGCTTGCTCCCTCCTCCTCCCTGTGGCTTCCTCTGACATATTTATACATGGCTATCATATCTCCTCTCAGCCTTCTCTTCTTCAGGCTAAACATGCCCAGCTCCTTAAGCCGTATTGTCACCAGATATTTCCAAAAAAGGATTTTGAAGCCGTTAAATATTTCTCTTCACCAGGATAGAAGTATCAAGGTTAAAGTTTGTGGCAGGGGAGAGGAAGCTGTCTCCTCTTCAAAATATTGTCCCACCAGACATGATGAAAGGCCGCACTTCGCATGGCTAGGTGAGAGTCAAAACATGTCTTCTTAAGCTATCTAATGTGCAGGACCAGCAGTATATTTGGATCCTATTTGTCCTGGATACTTGCCTGGAGCCAAAAGCAAATGGTTCAGATACTAGCCCATAGACCACCATTTCAGGAAGCAAGGAGTTCGATGGGACAAAGAAGGCTGAAGAAATCCAACACCTGGCCGATACCCATGATGCTCATGGATTTTTTAAGCCATGAAGGTCATCTATGGACCAAGAACCCATGGCATACAGCCTCTACGCTCATTAGATGGAACCAAACTTCTGAAGGACAAAAAAATCAATTGCACTACATTGGAAAGAACACTACCAAAGCCTCCTGAACCACAGCTCCAAGGTGGCTGAAAAGGTTTTCTCACAAATCCCACAACAGGGATGAGCTTGCAGCACTACCTAGTTTGGAAGAAGTCAGTAATGCCATCAGCCAACAAAAAAATAACAAAGCCAGTGGACCCGATGGGATCCCTGCTGAAATCTTTAAAGAGGGAGGACCTGAGCTGACACAACTCCACCAATTCATAGAAAAAGTGTGGGTGACCGAGAAAATCCCAGCAGATGCCATCATCATCACCCTCTTCAAAAAAGGGGAAAGAACAGACAGCGGAAACTATTGAGGTATCTCTCTTCTAACCTCCGCTGGGAAAATCCTCGCAAGAATCCTTGCAAACCACCTTCTACCCCTCTCAGAAGACACCCTCCCAGAATCCCGGAACAGTTTCCGCCCCTCCAGAGGAACAGTGGACATGATCTTCACTGCACGACAGCTCCAAGAAAAATACAGGGAACAAAATGAACCATTGTACATGGCATTCATTGACGTTGCAAAGGCATTCGACACAGTAAATCGCAGCGCTCACTGGACCATCCTCCAAAAATCGGGTGCCCTAACAAATTTGTGAACATCCTGCTCCTCCATGATGACATGATGGCAACAGTCTTGGACAAATGGCTCCCAAAGTGACCCATTTAAGATGGAATCTGGTGTCAAACAGGGACGTGTTATTGCCCCAATCTTATTTTCTATCTTCATGGCTATGATACTTCATCTTGATGATGGGAAGCTTCCCACCGGAGTGGAAATCATCTATCAGGACAGATGGCAAGCTATTCAACCTCAGCAGACTGAAAGCCAAAACCAAGGTTACAACAACATCTGTTATAGAACTCCAGTATGCTGATGATAACGTCATCTGTGTACATTCAGAAGAAGACCTACAAGCCACTCTAAACACCTTCGCAGAAGCTTACAAGAAGCTCGGCCTGTCATTAAACATCGAGAAAATCTAAGTGCTGTTCCAGCAGTCACCAGCCAACCCCGCTCCAATGCCAGAGCTACAACTTAAAAGTGTAACAATAGAAAATGTTGACCATTTCTGCTACCTTGGCAGCCACAAAAGTCAACACTGACACTGAAATACAACACCGCCTGAGCTCTGCGAGTGCAGCGTTTTTCCGAATGAAGCAGAGTGTTTGAGGACATCCGTAGGGATACCAAGGTGCTTGTTTATAAAGCCATTGTCTTCTCAACCCTGCTATACGCCTGCAAGGTGTGGACTATCTACAGACGTCACATGCAACTCCTGGAACAATTCCATCAGCGCTGCCTCTGGAAAATCCTGAAAATCTCTTGGGAAGACAAACGGACAAATGTCAGCGTACTGGAAGAAGCAATGACCACCAGCATTGAAGCGATGGTCCTCTGCCATCAACTCAGCTGGACCGGCCACGTTGTCTGGATGCCTGACCACTGTCTCCCAAAGCAGTTGCTCTACTCCGAACTCAAAACGGAAAACGTAATGTTGGACAACAGGAAGAGAGATTTAAAGATGGGCTCAAAGCCAACCTTAAAAACTCTGGCATAGACACTGAGAACTGGGAAACCCTGGCCCTTGAGCGTCAGCTGTGGTCAGCTGTGACCAGTAGTGCTGTAGAATTTGAAGAGGCACAAATGGAGGGCGAAAGAGAGAAACGTGCCAAGAGGAAGACGCATCAAGCCAACCCCGACCAGGACCGCCTTCCACCTGGTAACCGATGCCCTCTCTATGGGAGAAGATGCAGATCAAGAATAGGGCTCCACAGTCACCTACAAACCCACTGCCAGGACAGTACGTCCTCAGACTACGAGGGATCGCCTAAGTAAATAAGTTCTTTTTTAATTTTAAAAATAATTTGTTTTTGTGTTCTGATCATATTTTTAATTGAATGTTATTGTTGTCAGTTACTTTGAGTGATATCTTGGTCAAAAAATCAGAGTATTAAACAAGTAAGTAATAAAGCTTCCTTAACTTCAATAAGATGATGCTGGCTTCAATGCTTTCTTTTGCAATCACTTTCAGCTAAGTTACCCTGTTTTAGAACTGAGATCAAAAAGGCATCACACCAGCAAACAGCAAAGTATAACTTGTATGCTGCTACAGTATTAGAGATTGCAGCAACATCTCTGTTGATTTTTAATTTTTGTAAGTATGTATTTTATCTTTTGTAATTTACCTGTAAATTTCCTGGAGCATTCTCGGATGGAGGGCGAATAATAAGTTATTAAATTATGATGATTATGATTATGATCTTGTCTGAAGGAGACTAAGAGTGCATCAATGCTATGGAACCCTGGGGGTTGAAGTTTGTTGAGGTGGATGTACACTTTGGCAGAGAAGGCTACAGACCTTGTAAAATTACAACTCCCATTGTGCCACAGTATAGAGCCATGATAGTTAAAGTGGTGTCGAACTTTTAATTCTACAATGTAGTACACCATTAAAAACACAAAAGGGTACCTATACAGCCAACTAAAGGTGAATCTACACTGAAAAAATAATGCAGTTTAATATCACTTTAACAATCATGGCTCAATACTATGGAATCATGGGAGCTATAGTTTTATAAGGTCTTTAGCTTTCTCTGCCAAAAAGTGTTAGTGCTTCACCAAACTGCACTTCCCAGGATTCCATAGCATTGAGCCATGGCAGTTAAAATGGTGTCCGACTGCATTAATTCTACAGTGTAGATGCACCTTAAATCTACCTATGCCAGGTTCCATACAATCTGCATTACAGTTGTTCCCAACTTGAAATAGAGCACTAGAGATAAGAGAATAGCACTGCTTTTAAGTCTACATAGCATGAGTTAGGATATTAACAGTGGTTTAATTTTTCAATATATTTTGTTTTATAAAACAAAACATAAAACAAAATCATCATTCATGAATAAACATCACATATGGTCTTTAGTTTGTCAATGTCCAGCATTTTCAAGTCAAGGACAGAAAGAATATTAGTCCATAAATGTATATTTGTAATTATTATGATATCAGTTATTACTGACAAAGGCAACATATGCAAGCCAAATATCATAAAAACTATTTCATAAAGCTCAATTTTAAGCACTTTTGTGTTCTTAACCTTTCTGTAAGAGCAATAGCTCAGACTTTGTGCACACAAAAATAATTACAATCCCCTTAAATCTTCTTATACTAAGAACATTTCTGATCTTATGTCCTGTATACGAAGGTAATAAGATCTTTGTGTTACAAATGTTTCTATCATTAGAGAAAAAGGGAAATAAGACTGATTGCTGGTGAGACAGAACCGCCTGGTTTATGATTTTACAGATTTCAGAGGAAAAAATCTGTAAAATCATTGTTATAATCAGACACTTCCATGAAAGATAAAAAGTACATACAAATACCATTACAATATCATCTGCAAATAATCTTCAAGGTAGGTTAAACAATCTGCTTGCTTTTATGGGTAGCTTTCTTTCTTTCTTTTTTTAAAAAGAAGTTCTGATAGTTTTGCATTTTATAGCTGAGGATAACCAATACCTCTTTCTCTTTGCCATTATGTTCTGAAGGATACAAAGAACTTGAAATTATTCTAGATTCTAGGAAAATATAGCATGTCAGTTCCCACATTCCCACCTCTTGTTAAATGAACATGCAGATTCCTCAATTCTTACCTTTTATGGTTGAAACAGTGTTTCTTGAATGCGTGTCCAATTTCTTCACTAGAGATTTCAGGTCTATTTTCACGCCAGCAAAGATGTTTGAGGTCAACAAAACATGGTCCTAGCATAGACAAAAATAAGAATGTATTGTTGAAGGCTTTCATGGCCAGAATCACTGGGTTGTTGTAGGTTTTATTAGGCTATTTGGCCATGTTCTAGAGGCATTCTCTCCTGACGTTTCACCTGCACCTATGGCAAGCATCCTCAGAGGTAGTGAGGTCTGTTGGAACTAGGAAAATGGGTTTATATATCTGTGGAATGACCAGGGTGGGACAAAGGACTCTTGTCTGCTGGAGCGAGGTGGGGATGTTTCAACTTGCCACCTTGATTAGCATTTGATGGCCTGGCAGTTTTTTGGTGTGGCTTGTTAGTGCCTGGGGGAATCTTTTTGCATTGTCCACATGCTTATGGATTTCAATAGTAGACTCCTGCAGAAGTGAGAGGATCCCTCTTGTCCTTTGCTGAACGTAACATTTGTTGAATTTTTGGTGGGTCTACCGTATACCATGCAGCTGTGGACAAGTCTACAGCGGGACCATCCAACGCAGCATTGCTCAAACACAAATCAAGGAACATGAAAGGCACCGCAGACTACTTCAATCAGAGAAGTCGGCCATAGCAGAGCACCTGATGAACCAACCTGGACACAGCATATTATCTGAGAACACAGAAATGCTGGACCACTCTAATAACCACCATGTCAGACTACACAAAAGCCATTGAAATCCATAAGCACGTAGACAATTTCAACAGAAAGGAGGAAACCATGAAAACGAACAAAATCTGGCTACCAGTATTTAAAAAACTCTAAAATTACAACAGCAAAACAACAGAGAGGAAACAATCAGGGACAGCTAATCACCTCTCAACAAAAGATTCCCTCAGGCACTAACAAGCCACACCAAAAAACTGCCAGGCCATCAAATGCTAATCAAGGTGGTCAGTTGAAACATTCACACCTAGCTCCAGCAGACAAGAGTCCTTTGTCCCACCCTGGTCATTCCACAGATATATAAACCCATTTTCCTAGATCCAACAGACCTCACTACCTCTGAGGATGCTTGCCATAGATGCAGGCGAAACGTCAGGAGAGAATGCCTCTAGAACATGGCCATATAGCCCGAAAAAACCTACAACAACCCCAAAATAAGAATGTGATACAACTAATTCCTTTAACAAAGGCCTAATTTTGGTTCTAGAGGACAGAACTCAATCTATAAGTTCCCTTGCTCTGATGGAAAAAATATCTGGCTCAAACTCAGAGCATCGCAAAGTTAGCAATATTCTAAAGTTAGAAAATATAAAACACGTCAAACTTACTCTTTGTCAGAGACCAGCAGGCTATAATAGCGTGCGTGTTAGACAAGGACCCTGGAGACCGTGGGTTCAAATCCTTGCTCAGGAGACTAGGACGCGGAACAATGGCTTCAAACTACAAGAGAGGAGATTCCATCTGAACATGAGGAAGAACTTCCTGACTGTGAGAGCCGTTCAGCAGTGGAACTCTCTGCCCCGGAGTGTGGTGGAGGCTCCTTCTTTGGAAGCTTTTAAACAGAAGCTGGATGGCCATCTGTCAGGGGTGATTTGAATGCAATATTCCTGCTTCTTGGCAGGGGGTTGGACTGGATGGCCCATGAGGTCTCTTCCAACTCTTTGATTCTATGATTCTATGACGGAAATCTGCTGAGTGGCCTTCGGCAAGTCACTCTCTCTCAGCCTCTCAAGAAGGCAAAGGTAAAACCCCATTGAACAAATCTTGCCAAGAAAACCCCATGATAGGTTTGCCTCAAAGTCAACATAAGTTAAAAAAAATAAACCTGAAGGCATAGTGTCACCACCACCAATCTTGTCAGGAGCTGAATGGGCCCCCATCTCCATCTGCTAAGGAAAATTCCATTGGGAATTTTCTTAAATGGTTCTTCCACTGTACTTTTGTCTCAAATACTTGACAAGGGGTTGACAAATGAGTTAAAAGGATGTCAATGACAGTGTTGTGTTATTCCTCACCTGCAGGAATAGGGCCTCATGTTCTAAATGAGGAGGAAAATAAAGAAATAAAGCAGGTTGTGGACAAGAGAAAAAATTGCAGGCTGACTTGAATTACGCCTGGATTACCTGGGAAGGAATCTCACTGGAGCATTGCAGCACATCCAAAAACCTGGGAGTCACTCTGGACCGTGCCCTGACCTACAAGAAGCACTTCCTGAATATCAAGCAAAAAGTGGGTGCTAGAAACAATATCATACGAAAGCTGACTGGCACAACCTGGGGATCACAACCAGACACAGTGAAGACATCTGCCCTTGCTATGCTACTCTGCTGCTGAGTATACATGCCCAGTGTGGAACACATCTCACCACACTAAAACAGTGGCTGTGGCTCTTAATGAGACATGCCGCATTATCATGGTGTGTATGCACCCTACACCAGTGGAAAAAATACACTGTTTAGCCGGTATTGCACCACCTGACATCCGCAGGGGAGTAGCAACCACTAGTGAAAGGACCAAGACAGTGACATCTCCAGCCCACCCCCTGTTTGGGTATCAGCCAGAATGCCAACAACTTAAATCAAGAAATAGTTTTCTAAGATCTACAGAGACACTCGCTGGAACACCTCAGCAAGCGAGAGTCCAAAAGTGGCAGGTTCAAACCCAGAACCTCAATCAATGGCTGATACCAAATGAGAGACTCCCCCCTGGGCACACAGAAAACTGGGCGACTTGGAAGGCACTGAACAGACTGCGCTCTGGCACCACGAGATGCAGAGCCAACCTTAAGAAATGGGGCTACAAAGTGGAATCCATGACATATGAGTGTGGAGAAGAGCAAACTACAGACCACCTGCTGCAATGCAACCTGAGCCCTGCCACATGCACAATGGAGGGCCTTCCTGCGGCAACACCAGAGACACTCCAAGTGGCCAGATACTGGTCAAAGGGCATTTAATCAACTACCAAGCTTGCAAACTTTGTGTTTTGTTTTTAATGCAATACAACTGTTTTGGTTCGCTCCTGATACGATAAATAATTTGTGGTAAGGCTTTTCATTATCACTTTGATGTGGAGGTCGGGACGGCTTTGAGTGCTTTTGATTGTTTTGGTTTTAACACAATGGCATTGAATGTCTGCCATTGGTTGTTGTAAACCACCCTGAATCCCCACGGGGAGAGAAATAAATAAGGTCGTATTGTTGTAGGCTTCAAACTACAAGCGAGGAGATTCCATCTGAACATGAGGAAGAACTTCCTGACTGTGAGAGCTGTGCAGCAGTGGAACTCTCTGCCCCGGCATGTGGTGGAGGCTCCTTCTTTGGAAACTTTTAAACAGAGGCTGGATGGCCATCTGTCAGGGGTGATTTGAATGCAATATTCCTGCTTCTTGGCAAGGGGCTGGACTGGATGGGCTATGAGGTCTCTTCCAACTCTTTGATTCTATGATCTATATTATTTAAAACTAGCCATCCCCTGCCACACGTTGCTGTGGCTCACATGGGGGTTCTGTGTGGGAGGTTTGGCCCAATTCTGTCGTTGGTGGTTGTAGGGAAACTATAAATCCCAGCAACCACAACTCCCAAATGTCAAGATTCTATTTTCCCCAAACTCCACCAGTGTTCACATTTGGGCATATTGAATATTCATGTAGAGTTTGGTCCAGATCCATCATTGTTTGAGTCCACAGTGCTCTCTGGATGTAGGTGAACTACAACTCCAAAACCAAAGGACACTGCCCACAAAACCCTTCCAGTATTTTCTGATGGTCATACATTGGGTTGTTAGGTGCCTTGCGTCCAAATTTGGTGTCAATTCGTCCAGTGGTTTTTGAGTTCTGTTAATCCCACAAACGAGCGTTACATTTTATGTATATAGATATCTTTCCAAGGCCTGGGCTTCGCAGCCCGTTCCTTAAGTAACAACCCCTGCCAGGCCCTCCTTCCTGCTTTCTCAGTCCCCTCCCCCCCCCCCCCCCGCTCTACCCCAAGATGGTACAGTCCAGGCCTTAGGGCACACTCACCCGGGCCGCCCTCACGGGCTTGCTTTGGGGGGCGGCGAAGGGGAAGGCGTTCGCCGCGAGGCCCTCCTCGCCCCCCTGAGGCGCCGCCGGGTGCAGTCTGGGCCGCCTTCTCACTTTGCCCACCATGGCGGACCGAAGAAGGTGAGTACGAAACCTAGGGAGCGAGGCAGCGAGCGAGGGAAGCTCAGGGAGGACAAAAAAAAGGAGACACCCCCGCGTGCTGGCTCAAGGCTTCCCCTCGGAAACACGTCGCCTGCGACCCAAGGTTCCGCCTTGCCTGCTTATACCGAGAAGCCGGAGCTTCTACTTGTTGCTATGGGAACCGAGCCCGGCTGGCCTGGCTGCCTCCCACTCGAGATAGCCGCCTTTGCCTTTTGATCCTGGGCCCAAAATACAAGACGTCCTCAAAGTCTCCATACAAAGGAAAATTAACACATATATATGTGTGTGTGTATTTATATTTATATATAAAAATGTGCGTAACGAGTACCTTAAAACAAAAGAACCAATCACACCAAATTTGGCAACAAAACGTCTCACAACACAAGGAGTGACCATCACTCAAAAATTTTGATTTTGTCATTTGGGAGTTGTAGTTGCTGGGATTTATAGTTCACCTACAATCAAAGAGCATTCTGAACTCCATCATCGATGGAATTGAACCAAACTTGGCACACAGAACTCCCATGACCAACAGAAAATACTGGAAGGATTTGGTGGGCATTGACCTTGAGTTTGGGAGTTGTAGTTCACCTACATCCAGAGAGCACTGTGGACTCAAACAATGATGGATCTGGACCAAACTTGGCACAAGCACTCAATACGCCCAAATATGAACACAGATGGAGTTTGGTGAAAATAGACCTTGACATTTGGGAGTTGTAGTCACTGGGATTCACAGTTCACCTACAATCAAAGAGCATTCTGACCACCAACAACAGAATCGGGGCAAACTTCCCCAAGACCAACAGAAAATACTTAAGGCCATCCAATCCAACTCCCTTCTTCAGGGCAAGAAAACGTAATCAAAGTCCTCCTGACAAAGAGCCATCCAGCCATAGATATAGATAGATAGATATGATTCACACACACAGATATAGTATCATAGATTTGAAAGGGACCCCTAAAGAAGGACAATTATATGTTGCATGTTCCAGAGTAGGCAAACCAGACACTCTCCACATCAACACTGACAAAGAAACAGCAAGAAATACTGTTTACCCACAAGCATAAAGAAATTACATATATGAGAAACCAACACTTTCTCATTACTTTATTTTCCAGATCAACAGACTGGGCCACAGCAATGCATGGCAGGGGACAGCTAGTACATTATATAATGTACATTAAGTCATGGTTTGTTTTTGTTTTGTTTTTATGAATGCTCTCATTAGAACATGCATCAGGATGTGGGTGAACTACAACTCTCAACATTACGGGTCAATGCTTAACCCAAACCTCACCAGTATACAAAGTTTATCATGTTTGAGAATGCGTGCCAAATGTGGTCCGAATCCATTTTCCGTAGGGTTCACAGTCCTCTCTGGATGTGGGTGAACTGTAACTCCCGGCATCCAAAGTCAATTCCCTCCCAACCCTTAAAGTACTAAAAGTTGGTTATTGTGGACATGTGTGCCAAGTGTGGTCCAGTTCCATTGTTGGTTGGGTTCACAGTGCTCTCTCAGTGGGTGGACAATAATTTCCATCATCCCGGACCAATTCCCCCCCAAACCCCTCCAGTATTTTCTTTTGGTTATGATGGGTCTTGGTTGCCAGTGTGATGTCTCTTCACTATTTTATTTTATTTTATTTTATTTTATTTTTCATTGCTCTCCTCCCAAGAAGTAAGCGTCTCCTGATTTCCTGGCTGCAGTCTGCATCTGCAGTAATCTCTGCATCTAGAAATACAAAGTCTGTCTCAGCCTCCACATTTTCTCCCTCTATTTCCCAGTTTTCAATCATTCTTGTTTCCATAATCTTGGGGTTTTTTTATGTTTAACTGCAACCCAGCTTTTGCACTTTCTTCTTTCACCTTGATTAGAAGGCTCCTCAGCTCCTCCTCGCTTTCGGCCATCAAAGTGGTGTCATCTGCATATCTAAGTTTGTTATTGTTTCTTCCAGCAATTTTCACCCCAGCCTTGCATTCCTCAAGTCCCACACATCTTGATACAATAGTGAAGAGTAGAGACACCACACACAAGATCCACATAGTCAAAGAAATGGTATTCCCCATAGTCACCTACAGATGTGAGAGCTGAACCATAGGGAAGGCTGAGTGAAGGAAGATAGATGCTTTTGAACTGTGGTGTTGGAGGAAAGTTCTGAGAGTGCCTTGGACCGCAAGAAGATCCAACCAGTCCATACTTCAGGAAATAATGCCTGACTGCTCATTGGAGGGAAGGATATTAGAGGCAAAGATGAAGTACTTTGGTCACATAATGAGAAGACAGGAAAGCTTAGAGAAGACAATGATGCTGGGGAAAATGGAAGGAAAAAGGAAGAGGGGCCGACCAAAGGCAAGATAGATGGATGGTATCCTTGAAGTGACTGGCTTGACCTTGAGGGGGTGGTGACGACCGACAAGGAGCTCTGGCGTCGACTGGTCCATGAGGTCACGAAGAGTTGGAAATGACTGAACAAATGAACAACATGATGGGTCTGTGTGCGACATTTGGTTCAGATCCACTATCGGTGGGAATCAGAGGGCACTCTGGATGTGAGAGCTATCTTGGAAGCCACATATAAACATAGATACATATCTATGTATCTATGTTTATATGTGGCTTCCAAGATAGCTCTCACATCCAGAGTGCCCTCTGTTATTGATCCATGGCACCCCCTCCCCAAAAGTTTATGGGCAATGAAGAAATATGATTTTTTTGTTATTTTTTAAAACATTTCACGTGGCTCCAAAGTCATGCAATATCGAAGCCACTAAAGGCTTCAGAAGGACCTAGGAGCAGCTGTACCCCAACTCTATTAAATCTGACCCTTTCATAAAAGAACCAACATGGTATTTTATGTGTTAACTTGAATTATTTGAAAACTGTATCAATTCTTAAATGTATAAAATGTTTCAAATGTATCTTGAAGACAGCTACTTCTCCATGCCCTCAGTTTGCATAATCCCTTGGGCACAGAGATCGTGGTCAAGGTCCCTCCAGCTATTTCCCAAGTCAGATAATGTCAGGACCTTTGTGTGTATATGTGTGCAAGACGGATGATCCCCTTTGTCATGAGCTCAGGATTTCTGTCCATTTAATTGAGTTTGAGAGTATGCCATTCCCATGGAAAAGGAGGCTTAGCAAACATGAATTCACTAATTCCCTGAATGGGGAGCCAGACCCTTGTTGATTTAGAACTATTACTCTTTGTCTTTTGAGTCTTTCACCTTTTTCTCACATGGAATCCTGGACACTTGAGTCAATCAAGGAATCATCTGCATACCCACGTCACCACTTCCCCCAGTTTGGTGCCCTCCGCCCCCATGTTTCTAGCTAGGATTGGCTAGAAACATGGGGGCGGAGCCTAAGTGGTCTAGAGGGAAAAAGTATCCTTTTAAAACAGGCTTAAAGTCCCAGTTAGTGAGTTGGAGTTTGGGTGTTAGAGAGAGTGGAAGAGTTGATGTTAGTCAGAGCGAGTTTGGGTTTAGAGAAGAAGATTGGGTTAGCCTTTTGTGAGGTATTCAGAGTAGCTATTAGTTAGAATACTGTTGTGGAGCAGGGCCCAGTTAGTTCAATTCCTAGGGAAGTCTAGTTCAGGGTATTTTTGGCTATATTCCTAAAGGGCATTTTTGGGAGTTACTTTCAGAGATTAATTTCCTGAAGTAATTTTCTGTGGTGGAAGTTTGAAGACTTGTAACCCAGAAGAATTTAAGATTTTACTGTAACGCAACCACAAGCTTCTCATGCCAGTATTTTTCTGAAACCAATAAGCAGTTGTACCTAAATTATTTCAAGCTTGTTCAATAAACATTCTTGTTCTTTTATTAACTTATACCAGCCTCCGTGTGTGTACCTTTGTGGTAAAACTATAGTGGCACAGTGTGTGTTACAGAACCAACTCCCAATATTACCTCAGCCTGATTAATATTGGAATGGTGGCAGCAGAATTCATTTGAAGAAGCGTTTCAAGTCTCTTAGTTGAAGTGTTTCTATCTTTTAAAAGGCTAAGTGTCTCTCCCCTTATCTGCTCTAATCTCCCCTGATATTGGTATAATCAGTGGGATATATTTCATCCATTAAAATAAAGAGAAATTTTAAATATACAGCTGTTTCAACAATCATACTCCCTCTTCCTTTTGACAGCTTTATATTTTTGGTGAACACGCATTCATATTTTAGGTGGTGCCTGTGCGTTATAATTTTGGTGGAACAGCGTTGGGATTATTTTATATATTTCCCCATCTATAAATTAATTAAAAATTACTCAGTTCATTTTACCATCCATCAGTTGTTCTTCTCACTATGGAAATCTTCTCCTTCAGGCTGTGATGTCAGGGGAACCCCCAAGCAAGCCCTGCATGGATCCTAGCCTGCCTCACTTTTCAGCCAATCAAGAGGGAGCAAGAAGTCTTCCTCCTGAAGTTCTGAATAGCTGTCAGAACTGGATAAAATGTCATGTATTTTTCTGTGAATGTGTGCTTGTACCTTTTGAAGAGCGCTTTGTCCCATCACACCTTGTATGGAATTCTGGAGTCTGCAGTTTAGGAAATTCTCAGCCAGAGAGCTCTTGGTTGCCCTAATCAATAACCCCAGAATCTCACAAAGTGTTGTGATGGTAATTAAGGTGGAATAATAGTGCTATAAACAGTGTAGTGTGGTAGGGCATCATTTCCAAGGCAAGGATGAAACAACCAAATTTCCCCATGCATAAACATACATCTGAACGTTTGAATCAAAGCATTGAGTAAAACAGTATAATTAGGGCGACAAAATTTGTTTGAAGGAGAAGAACAGTTAGTTTGTCTTTCGGAGATATTTCTCATGAAACAATAAGGCAGTGCAAACTAGTTTTACCAGTTCCAGGTTAGCCACACTGACTTCACATTGGTTCTACATACACAATGCTTAACACTTCCTTTGTCCTACAAACTCCTTTCTTCATGTACAAGCACCATAAACATGCAAGACAGCTCAGCTGTGCTCCACAGAAGTGAGATGTAAGTGAGGATTTCATTGGTTATAATTTTTAATAGATTCTTAGGAATAAAAAT